TGACCATATTATGGCCATGAGGTATGCTTTTAGATAAAGATACTATCAGTTCTGACCCCATAGGTATCGTCTCTGACCCTTGTCTCGCTAGACTAGACTGTCGGCTCTCTCATTGCATTCGATCCTTGTATGTCCAGGTATCCCACATCAGCTACACTTTGTCATGCCTTCCGAGTTTGTTCATCTTTAAGATTGCATCTAGAATAATTGTAGACTCAACCTTCACTGAGGCGATGGCTTTGTTTGAGTGCTGCCTGGCTGTGGCTCAGGATGTAAATATTGCGTTTTTTACACCCCTGTTTTTAGTGCACACATAATTATAGCGTAGAATTCAGCTTGAAATACTGTAGCAAACCTCCTTAAACGTTCACTGTGTTCGTATTTACTGTAGACGCCCGCTCCCGTTCCCAAGGCCATCTTGGCTTGGAGCTGTCAGTAAACCAGATTAGGCTGTTCTGTTGGGATTTTGGTCCTCTTTTCTAGTCGTCCCTTGTTCAAGATCTATCCACTTATTAGCTCAATCCACTGTTTTTTTTCTCACTTATCATATTAATCCACTGGTATTGTTTTAGATCAAGTACCTCCTACTATTACTACGAATGCTGTAAGTGCCCACAAACCTAGGCAGTTTTGCATCAGAATCGGCTACGGGCAGTATTACAAGGGCAGTAATCATGTCCTTATGATTTTTTCAAGTTATTTAAAATTTAGTAGGTATATCAAGGGGTTCGCGTATAGGGTCAGTTGCAAGCAACCGAGCAGTCTTCCCTTTACCCGACTGGTTGGGGGTGGACCAGAGTCGATAGCAACATGGAGCCTACATGGACCGATTTTCCCGTAGCTGCCGAAGCTTGCCTGGAAATGGTGAAATGTATGTGCAAGAAGTAGTGCAGAAGCTGGTGCTGTCTGAACAAACAACTATAATGGTCACAGCCGTAGCTTTTGTGCTAAAAATAATCTCCCGTACTATGATTATCAATCCTCACTTTCCTCACACTTACCTTTCCGTTAAATCACTGGTACAATAGTATGTAGAAATAAGTGTTAATTAAAATAATAATAATCATTAGACGTTTAGACAAATTAAAGTTCTTTATTTAGTGCTTTCTTCTTATGATATTTTCAATATTAAAATGTATTTAAGCTATTTTGAACCTTATGTCTTACACATAGAGTTCAAAATTAATTGAAGAAAAAATACAAATCATGTTAGCTTGATATGCCAGGAACTCTAAATAAATTCTAAAATAATAATCCTTACTTGCTTATGAACCAAATAGTATGAATTCATGGATAAAATAAATATTTTTTTCCGACGCGCAGTAAAATTCGCCCGCTGTGTCCTGAAGAAAAAATTTTTTTCACCTACTTTTTTCGAAAAAAGTACCATACAATGGTATATATTTATAATCCTGGTAAATGTAGGTTTCAGTACATATTTTTTTTATTAGATTATCTCCAATGGTTTAAAAGTAAACGACGTTTATTTAAAAAAATACTTTATGGTTTTTGTGAATTTTTCTCAATATTTCTATTTTTTTGTATGAAAAGGCAAAAAGTTTGTTCTAGAAATGAATTCGCCATCCTTTAATTATCCGAAAATGACACCACACTTGCCCTAATACCTATAGTTTTGAAGATATGGGCCTTAAAGTGAATCGCGGCAGAAGGAAACTTGCCCCCCCTTCTTGTGTTCTAAATGGTGCAGAAGGTACCTTTCGTATGGATTTTTTTTTATTTCTGAGTCATTTTCATCACCTAATAAGCATAAGATAATGTTTTCTGATAATTAAACTGCTGCATTAAAGAGTTAAATTAAAAAATGACTATTATTTTAATTAAATATCCAAAAAAACAATACGCACGAGCGTGCCGTTTTATCCCTTTAAAAATGAATTTAAACCGAACTGCTACGATAGTGCGTATTACATTTAAGTTAGTTTTAAGTAAGCAATACTATAAATTATTTTAATGGTTTTTCATTTATTTATTAGAATACAATGTTTACTTTATCATTAATAACATTTTAACAAAAATACTAGCAAAATACTATTTTTTTTGTTTACGTACCTCTCCGGGAGTTCGCGCCGAAAAATTCTGACAACTTTCACAATCGCTATCCGGCGACCAACTGCCCGCAAGAGGGTCCTATATTTTTTATTAAAAGTATCATAATACGCACGATCGCCGCGTACCGATTTCGTTCCGAAAAACAAAATTTTGCCAAGCAAATTTTTATTTTAAGTCAATGCGCACGCTTATTTAAGCCGGGTCTGAAAGGGGTATGGACGAAAAACTCAGAATCAATTATTGGGACTAAATGAAGTTACCTTATATTAATTTACCCCAACCAAAGCTCAATGTCGTTATCGATGGAGTATAGAAGTTATAGACTGACAAAGTTTGTATAAAAAGTCATGGTTAAGTAGGTACTTGCGATTTTTACCTGTATTTACAATATTGGTAATATATTATTATTTACTTTAATAATAATAACAGGATCACTGTAATTATTATTAACTACTATCGCGCATTAACTTTTTAACTATGGCGAAATTCGTACCGCCTATGTTTATCAAAAATAATGCCTATATTAGGCTTTCAACTAGCTCTTATAGTAATTACATAGTTGACAGTTACTAATCCCTTCTACTATTGTTATTGTTTTTGTAAAAACTTAAAAATCGCAAGCAACTCATGATTTTTTCATTCAAAATTAGAAAATAGAAAATAATAATTTACTTCTATTTATCGATAATAGGAAACCGTATTAGAACACGAGCCCTGCACTATGTTACGACCGGCACATGCGGCCGTACTGTGTATTTTCACGCGTCAGTGGATATCGGAAGAAATAAAATACATTGCGCAGTAGTTACGCATGACATAAAGTGGTTGCTAACTAAATCGTCAATGTACAACGTGTTTGAATTTTTATCACCACTAATTTCGGAAGAAATAAAATACATTGCGCAGTAGTTACGCATGACATAAAGTGGTTGTTAACTAAATCGTCAATGTACAACGTGTTTGAATTTTTATCACCACTAATTTCGATATCGCAGAAAATGTCACGGCACTGAATTCGTTCGTAAAAATGTTTGGTTTTTTTAATTTATAAGCAAAATACCAATGGATTTGCAATACTTACATGTGGTAAATGACTTCATTGTTCCTGTAGTTCTTCGTTTCACTTATGTTATTGCACGTTACTACGCATTATCCAACAATATCGGAGAACATTTCCTCAGTACGACTGAATCGCGACTAACCTGGCGTCGCGGGCGATGTTCGTTTCTGGGCATATCGCGGAGACACGCGCCACGCCCCCGTTTCACATCTATTCCCTTCTATGATCTGAGGTTTCACGGCTTCGCTCTCATGAATGTTTACGACCGTCAAAAGCACGTCGATAGATGGCGTTTTTAAAGATATTTCTCACCTCTTAACTATTTATTGAAATTTAGTTTGTCACATATCGTCATAAATTTGTAGCCTATATGTTAGCTTGGGTTATAAATAATAATACTGTAAAGTTTCAACAAAATCCGTTTATTAGTTTTTGCGTGAAAGAGGAACAAACATCCAGACATCCAGACAAAAAGGTTACAGTGAGCCAACCATAAAAGATAGACATATGCTGTCGCGGACTTTTTTGTAGAACTTTTAAAGGGGAAAATCCTATCATACATAATTTATGCGAAACTTTAACCGTTTACGCAGCGTCAGCTCTCAAAAGGAAAAAAATCACTGATTTGAAACATTCTTCATTGGTGCTCCGCTCCTAGTGGTCTTAGCGTGATGATATATAGCCTAAAGCCTTCAGGGATTAACGGACTATCCAACACAAAAAGAATTTTTCAAATTGGTCCAGTAGTTCCTGAGATTAGCGCGTTCAACCAAATAAACAAACTGTGATTAATAAATTGCGCCACTACAAACCGTACCAACAGATGGCGCTGTTACGATCTTACTATGGCAAACTCCACCGCGCATACAATCCTGCATCGCGGTGACGAAGTTTTTTACCCTGCCCAGTATATATAGACAAACCAAGATTGTGTAAATTATATGTATTAACACCATAGTTTCCTTATGGTGGTTGAGCGTCATGTTCCACAACTTCAGCTTTATAATATTAGTATAGATATAGATATACATACACTTTAGTTGTAGTATCTCAATCTCAGAGCCTTGGTACAATTACAATACAATTTAGCACCAAAGCGCTCGAAAAGACAAATCCAACAAACCCAAACTCGATAAGTTTCCACCGTTTCGTTTAGGAAATCCTATGGACACCTCTTGATTCCATCATCAGGACCCTGGACATCATCTAGTACTAAAGAGCTCAAAATGACAAATCCAACGAACCCAAATTGGATGCGATTCCGCCGTTTCATTTAGGAGTTTCTATGGCCACCTCTTGACTCCATCATCAGACCAGCTCAATGGTACTACTAACATTGCATTTTCATCGTACTTACATAAGTATACCAAATTTCAGCTCAATCGGTTGAGGAAAACTGGTCTTAAATTCAGTTGACTTTTTTGTATCGTTGCGTTGGTGATCAGGTTACAAAAACTGTTGTTTTGGGTTCTGGAAGTTCTAGAAGCCCGAACGTACTTGTCAGAACGCGTTTTTCAGCGTGTTTGCTGTATCTTTTTGGTAAACAGTAGATACTGGATTAACGATTAACGGACTTAGGATAATTTAACGGAAGTTAACGAGTCCGTTAAAATTTTTTAAAGTTAACTTAAAAGTTAATCCGTTAATAGAAATGTTAACTTCGTTAATTAACGATTAACGGATTAACGAGTTAATGCCCAGCTATGGTCACCTCTTATGACATCTACCAAAAAGAGTGGGAGTGGTACTATTCTACTTTGACAGAATTAAACAGCCAAATGACATTCCACTGCTGGACAAAGGCTTCCCCCAAGGATTTCCACAACGACCGGTCCAGCGCCGCCTGCATCCAGGCACCTCTGTCTGAATCCCATGGCTAGTGGGATTACTCATTACTTAAGGTTGTCTTACCCGAAACCTGCAGCACCCAGGGTCCTTTAAAGGGGTGGTTGGCCCAGGCGTCCCTCACACTCCTCTCCAAGGCTTCCAGCACCCACTTGCCCTGCAGCTCGAAGGTCTCCATCCGGTCGTTGAACGGCAACAGCTCGAATAGCGTACCTTCTGTGATTGCTGAAATACACAAGCAGTATTAATTTTTGTTGCAAATATGACCTCTTTTCCAGCATTTCCTTTTGCTTTTATGTATTTCGGTTTTATTTTTTGTACTGCATTTATTGAGTATAAGTAGAATAAAAGCAGCTTACTTTAGTCCCACATAACATATATCTTCCGGTTAAGTTCCCGTCAAAATTTGTCCAGAGGTTAGACGAATAATAGCGTTTGACTACTCGTAAAAAGTGCATCAATTGATTGGCAGTTTTAACTACTCAACTAAACACATTTAAAGGTCTACCTTTAAATATTAACTACCTTTAAGTACATATTTAAAACTTAACTACTTTTATAAACAACATTGTGTTTTCTGCTAATGTAAAATATACAAAAAAAATGTAATCAAGTATACTTACTGCCTTGAGGAATGGATGACTTTATGTTCCCTCGTTGGATAAACGACAAGAAATCCAGACTTGATTTTACTTTCGACTTGGCCTGAAAAGTATTAGCCGTTAAGTAAAAGGGAAAGTTTAAGACATGGAAACATTATATTTGTATCTTATGCCAAAGAAATAAGGTTTTAACTTCAAAATAGCGTAGGAATTGTAATATTTCCACTGAGTGTTTTAAGACGAGATAAAAAATAATACTTACGTAATCATTCTGTGAGTCGACCAGTGCATCTCCCAAAGCGCATTCCCCAAAAACGCAGGCTTCGAAAGATAGGGACGTCTTGGTCTCCCCAATAGGCACGTTTTCAGCCTTGTGAACTATTTCCGCGTACGGTGCTAGTTTTGCTTTTATTTCAGCATCTGGAATTATAGACCAATCTTCTGAAACTATTTTAAAATGGAAAAATAAGCCTGGAATAAACAGAAATTTTTATTTGGATTTTAAGGCTTTTTTCAGGGTACCGCAAATTCCCATGAGACAATAACCCAAAGCGGGAAGAGCCTGGATGCAGCGCTGGACGGGTCGTTATGGAAATCCTTGGTCTTTGTCCAGCAGTGGACGTCATTTGGCTGAAACGAATGATCGAACAAATAACCCAAAGGTGTCGATTCGACTTTTGAGAAACTTTAGTTTGGTCCCAATCGACTGCTGGAAAATCATGGTGAGCCCACCCCAAACACAAAAAATATTGAGGGTATTAAATAAATTAATAAAAGGTCTATTCATAAAATTTATAAAGACTGTCATACCTTCAGCGATAGATCGGTCCAGGAATATAGGACCACCCTCGTATTTGACCAGGTCTCCGCGGAAGTCGAAGAACAGCGTCAGATTCCCCATGTACTTGGTGAACGCTGATGCTTGCACGATCATTGTCTGAAAGCAGAAAAACAGCGTCGTTATCATCAGCGTATTTAATCCCCACTGCATGAGTACGATTCTCTCTAATTTACCAGAGGCAAATGTAGGACTTTGACCTACATCCCCACACTAGCAAGACGGGTTTGGAAAGTCTTATATTCACAGAATTCTCCCTTAGTCGCATGGCCTCGCGTACCACAAGGAACTATAATGAGTTCCAGGTAAAATTCACCAATACCACTTTATGTTACCAAGACGACCTCATAAAGGTAGCAGGAAGGCGCTGGATGCAGGCCGCTACAATTCGCGCAATATGGAAATCATTGGGGAGGCCTATGTTCAGCAGTGGACGTTCTGTGGCTGAAATGATGATGATGACTACCTACCTTATGTTTCTTATCCACTGCGGACTCCACGAAGATGGGATAGGGTCCAGCTACCGGCTCTCCGCTGGGAGATGGACCATTCCATAGTAAAGAGTGTGTGTGACCGCCGACTATGATGTCGATGTGCTCCCCGAAGTCACGGGCGAGCTCCCTGGAAAGAGAAGTCAATCGGTTGTAGAATGGCATAAATTAAGCCTTGTTTGACTTGAAATAAGGGCTGAAATCAGACGTCTTACTATCACTATTAGGAGCCACAATGATTCTAAATTGATTGTTCTCGTTACTTCAGGTAAGCTAAATACTAGACTCGTGTTAGCAGAGAGTGGTCGATAGGGAATAAACAAGTGTACTCTCAAAATTATAAATAACTTGAAAAAATCGAACTGCCTGAGGCGGGATGCGGGAATCGAACCCACGACCTTTGGCTTGCCGGGCGACTGCTCTCCATCTGAGCTACTTAGACACTGGATTAACCGTCACTCTGTTGCGGTCAAGTTATTTATAATTTAATTTGAGAAGCGACTCTACTTAAATGCTAAGAATAACTATTGTACTCTCAAATCTGCAGTCCAACGCCTAGATCTTTTGCTTATTGTCACTGATTGCTTCAGTTAGGTACTATAAGGAACAACTGCATCATACATAAATTATTTACAATCAATATTTCAAATCAAATGGCTTAATATTTCAATCAAATGGTTGTCATAGTTATTATTAAAAGCTGCTCGTGATAGATGTTTAGTTAATTAACTACATAAGTCATCAAACAGCTGATAAAGTTATATGACTCACTAAATGACGAAATAATTTGCACGCGACTGTACCAGTTAACGTAACTCCTAATAAAGCAATGTCGGTTAATTTTGTACAATTGTTTAATGGCGGCAACCAATCGACTAACAACCTGATTCCTGTCTTCACTTGTCTTGTGCCCACGCGAATTAACGTTAGCATCTTTTCTTTTTCCTCACTATCCTACCAATCCTGCCATTATAAAATGTGGACGTTTTTCAGGATGGATACTTACTTATTAGTTACGTACTCTTTCATACAAAAAAATCGGATTTTAATAAAACTTCACGGAATTATTGTTATGATTAGATCAGAACTGTTCTTTCTGTGATTTTTTATTGAAAAATAATCATAGTAATTTGTATTTCACAATTCACAAGTTACTAATAGTCCCGTAATCCCCTCGTGATGAGCTAAATGTGCTTGTGTTAAGAGTGGGTTCACCACAAACAGAAAGTTCGAACCATCATTCCGCGGATCTCGATTCCGCCATCCAACACCTTCACCGTTCAGTTTGTCGCTTGCTTGTCGAAATTCAGACCAAAGCCGCGTGCAAAATCTAATCTAGATTGTTTATCACTCACTTATCAACATCAAGCCCGCAATGCGAGAGCAGTATGATAATGTCCACTCCCTTGTCGGTCAAGGTCTGCGCTTCGCGACGAGTCGCCTCGCGGGGATCCGTGAACTTTACCTTGCCCGGGGTCGACAGTTTCTGAAAGATAAGGCAACGATTATAACTAAAACACTGTCTAGGATGAGTGGACTAGTAGGTTACACTCTTTATCGGTATTGTAATCCCTTTTCAAATCACTTATATGTCCCAAATACAGCTAGCTCTATCATTAATTTCTAGGACGACAACTGCAGGCAACGGCTGATGAAGAAAGAAAGGAAAACCAATGGAACCTTTTTTTCCACCAAAGAAATGGTTCCATAGGCAATTTGGCAGGATCGTAACATCCATTACAAGAAGTAAATGAGTAATGGAACGAAAATGCACGCAATTGAATGAGGTTAAAACTCTTTAGAAAACTTTAATAATCTGATTGGTTCTAAAACTCTTATACTAACTTAGCAATCAAAGCCGAACTGGCCTGAACTGCAATCAAGTATTACAAATCAAACAGTCTTGTAGAAATCCAGCCTTTGTCCAGCTATTAACATTTTTTGTTTGAAAAGGAAACTACCTCAGTGTCAACAGTGATCAGTCCGATGATGCCGATCTTTCTGCCCTTCCTCTCGATCACAACATGAGGCTTGTAGAGTCCCTGGAGGGCCGGCTCCTCTGAGGAGTCCATGTTCGCAGCCACGACTGGTGCATTCAGACCTGAGAGGTACGGCGCCAGGCCTTCCGGGCCGTCGTCGAATTCGTGGTTTCCTATCGCCTATAATGAAAAAATGAAATAGGTAGATAGAGTATATTAGGAAAAGATAACATCTCTGTCAGATAAGTTTATTTTCTCTTAATAATAACAGAACTAAAATTAATCTACATGATTGTAGAAATGTAGTCTCCATCTTCAAAGATTTAAGACTAAGTAACTAGCGTGAGCAACAACCTGAACTTCAGACTGAAAGATTTGTGCCCACTTTAAGAATATAAGTAGTTGCTGAGGAATCACCGAATCCATCTTTTAAACTTGGATCAGCATTTACAAGCTTCAAATGTTATCGTAAGTTTGTTCTGCTGCTATTTTATCAGACTAAGAATAGAACTTAATTTGATAGGTAAATATTTGGATCATTTTGAAGCACATTATATGTATAACAAGTACATCACTTTGGTAAGATAAGGTACACTCCTTCTTTCTATTATGTGATACTAGCGGCCACCCGCGGCTTCGTACGCGTGGTGAATTTTGCAAAATGCCGTCTTAGTGAGTGAGCACCTACGTTCTAAAAGGAACCCCCCATGCAAAAATTAAGACTCCTAGCACTTGTAGTTTCTAAAATTTCGTGATTAATGAGAAAGTTTGTTATAAACCGTATCACCCAGATCTCTTTCAAGAAAGAAGAATAGTTATACTAACTTACATGAGCATCATGGGGCAGCATATTCATGAACATAGCTGTGATGTTCCACTTCAGAAGCGTGTACCAGTAGGTTCCTTGGAAGCTGTCTCCAGCATTCAGGAGTACGAAGTCTGGCTTCTCCTCCATCAAGACCTGGATCTCGTGGTAGAGGCGAGGAAACCCGCCCAGGCAGGAGTTGTTGTTGAACCGGCATGTTGGTGTTGCTACCGACGTCTCTTCAAATCTAAGGCATAATTTTAAAGCTCATTATCATCATCATTTCAGCCATAGGACGTCCACTGCTGAACATAGGCCTCCCCCAATGATTTCCGTGTTGATCGATCGGTAGCGGCCTGCGTCCAGCGCCTTCCTGCTACTCGTACCTTTATGATATAAGATATTTTAAAGTTGGTTATCATTAAAAATTTAGGGCATACGATTAGGATTAAAAAGAAGTGATAATCGTGCGGAAACGGGTCCACATTTTCGTTGGTAAAGCTAACACATTAATTACTTGATCAAGTAAATAATTTCCTAGTACAGTTAATCCTGTATTTATTGTTATAAAATGCTATTAAAAGACACTGTAGCTTTATTGTCCGATGTCTATTTGATTTCTCGTCTTCAGAACATTTTCAGTAATAAATAACGTTTTAACTTAATTCTATTTGGCATTATCTACCAGTTAACCACTGGCTTACGGAACTGAAATAGGTACAGTGATACCTAATTACTTTCGCTCTTTCTATTCTACGTTACATTTAGATACTTTCGTTGGGTTTCTATGGCAATCAAAATGTAGATTCTGACTAGGTATAACCCCACTTAGCGTGTGGTGGAAACTAGGCAGTGCTGGAAGCGATAAGTGGGGTAAAGTAAGCCTATGTCCGTTTTCACCATCAATCCCAAATTTTTAAGTGACCCCTATGGTAACATTTTCAGAGTGATTTTCAAAGGGTACACTTCAAAATTAGGGATTGATGATGAAAACGGGCACTAAGTAGTCTCGTAACTCTTGAGTGGCGTTTATGAGTAAGAGGTCTCGAAATTAACAATTCAATTTCGTTCGACTGTACCACTACTTATTGACCTTGATACGGTTTTACTCCAATGCATTTCGCGATCATCTGGTTTTGACGTAAGCAGTTTCTTTCGCAAACTCGCCGGCTCGACATTTTATACAATTCTGTGTCTAGATATGAAACTGGTTTTATGAGATCCACCTAAAGTAGAAACCTATAATATGGGACAGCTCATCAGGCTAAAAATTTTTGAAGAAAACTAGAAACTAGCTATTATAAAATTAAATATTAGGTCCCACACGTAAAATTTCAGTGTTTACATGCCAATATCAATAGGTAGGTGAGTCAGTAAGTTACAGTATAATTAACACAAACGTGTTTTTAATAAATAAAGGACTAAATAACCAGCTAGAAGCTACCTATAAATTATAACTAACTAGAGTTTTTGCCCACGACTTCGCTTGCGTGAAATTTTGTCTGTCACAGAAAATCTTTATCGCATATTCTCCTTATAAATTTTATCATAATCGGTTCAGTGAAAGTGTAACAGACAGATAGAGTTACTTTCGATTCAATTATAAGAAATTACAAGACTTTTGAACCTCCCATCATTATGTCAAGCGTAAAAATAATATCACGAATAATGATAAAAATATCGTTTTACAATTAATTACAACTCTATTTGATATTTTGGGTTGATATTTTCAAGTTACGCCCTGTATAATAGGGTGTCCCGAAATATCTTTTTTTATATTTTCGCTACACAAGACCCCTCAAAAGTTGCGTCATAAGATGTAGATTACCGTAAAAATAATTAAAAAAATATAAAATAATGTCTCAAGGGCTCTACCGGCATTTTTATGTCTCAAAAAATCTCTTAATCAGCCCTTCACTGTTTGTCATCTATTATATTTTTTTCACAATTGTTTCATTTTATTTTGTAATAACAGTGGCAGTTGAACCCTAAGATATGATTTGCAGGCAATGACAGACTGTTTCCAGTGAGGAATAGGTTTGGTTCGAACTAGCAGAATTCATATTTTGACTTGTTTTTCTCAAATTTTCTACTCCTTCGGCAAGGCTGTTGGTATTATTTCTGTTGAGGTTTTATTGCTGTAAGGTATTGCACCGCACTTTTTTGTTATAATATTACATACTTTTAGCATAAATTTAACAAAAATTTAGCAATATATGGTAGTAATATACTTTTTGATTTTTTTCAGGTAAAAACTACCTAGCCAAAAATCTTTATAATATTATATTTAAACAGAATACTAATTGACATGTTTTTTAGTAGAGTATAAGACATTTTGTAAAAAAAACGATTTAAAAAGTAGTATCACAACAATGTAAAAAAATTCAATTTTCCTTTAATTACTAACTAAAGGTTGATTTTATCGATACAATTCATACCACAAAATATTAAGCGCACACGTAGAGCTATCATTTAAATAAAAAAGTAATGAAATCGGACAAATGGTTTTCAAGTTATGGTTGATTTTCTAAAATTGACTGCTATTTTTGTTAGCTTCCACTTAGAGATGCCAATCATTGTTTCATAATAGCGTAATACAATTATTAACCTGCTGTGAGAAGGGAATTGAGTATCTTCAAATTAAATCGATATCTTGGCTGACCCATGGATTAATTAGGAATACATTAAAATCGCGCGCGTAAATGCCTAATTCTGGTCAAAAAGCCAATTCTGTTTTGAAAGTATTTATGGATTTATTGGTTTTTAAACTATTTTAAAACTTGCTTTGACTCATTGTGTACCATAAAATTTCATAAAAACGCTATTTTTGTAATATTAATAGTTTATGTCAGGAACCCCTAAAATAGCAATTTAAAATTTTTTCAAGGACAGGTAGAGGCCTCAAGATGACTGATATCTCATTAAATTTAATGCTAATCGTAATCTATATGTCAAAACGCAACTTTTGATACCTCTTGCGTAACCGTAACTCAAAAAAAAATTTTTCCCATACAACGACGGGACACCCTACTGTATAACTCAATCATAATAGGTAGGTATGCAAAACATACTTCGTTTTACGGTTTTAGCACTGTCATTATTATCGCAAAGTGGTATACGTGAGAAATGCACGACTTAAACCTGAACAAATTACTTTTACTTCATAATAAAATACAATGTTTATACTCGTATTACTGCCACTCTCCGGGAAAGAACCTTCATACATACATACTTACTGTTACCTACGTAACTTACATGAAAAGAATCTATCATTCTTTATTTAAACTTGTTATATCATAGTATCATCTGATAAATAACTAGACTAGACTTAAACCAGCAACCTTGTTTGAATTCGATGACCCAATCACAAAGTCGGCCAAAATTTAAAAGTAAAGTACTTACGAGTATGTATAACTTTTGCCGTTGGTACTTTTTTTCAGCATATTAGTGAGGTAAACTAAGCCAAGGAAGGAAAATAGATAAAGAATAGTGCATTGGAGTTAGGATAGGACACTTTTTTTTAGGATCTAAAGTACCTATTAGTATGTACTACTATTCTGCTTTCTAGGCACCTTGAACCTTAGAGGAAAGTTAAACTTCATTTCGCACTTTTAGCGAACTAAGACGAATATAATAACTATACTCTACCTAAGTCATGAAAATAGCATTTGTATTTAAAACTACGTTGTTAAACAATAAAGTACCTAGACTGAAAGCATTTTCATAATTTTGGAGATATTATGTAGATAGGCAATCTTCAGTTGAATGACTGATATATTGCATAAGTACCTACTATCGCCAAGGACAAGGAAAGATGGTAGAAATACGACTAAGAAAGAATATTAACAGTCTAATTACTGCGATTAGAGACAAAATAAATACCACAAAATAAGTAGTAAGTTATACCAGACGTTAGGTAGAGTCGTTAATTTTTTAAACATAATTAAATGCTTATCTTTATGTCGGTCTCTATTTACATTTCTATCTATCATCGACTAAATTCTTTATAGTGAATATTTTAAACTAAAACTAATCTATTTTTTGTCTGTTAAAGTATATTAACAAGGATTCTTATTATTATGACATCTGATAATTTCAATATTAACATAACTATTAATAGAATCGAACTTCGTTATCGCGTTTTAGAACAAAAATATTATTGTTTCATCATAACTTATGAATGACACAAGGTCAAACAATTGATATAACATACCTGGCATGGAAGTCATTGTAGTGTATTATATCCAGCTGATATAATCCTTCGAAGGGCAGCGCAAATCCATGAATTGAAACTATCAAGAATGACAATGAAAAAACACTCGAAAACATTTTTGTTTAAAACACTTTTGCTCACATGCTCAAAACTTCGCGGGCGCGGTATACGAATATAGAGCAAACTAGTTTCACGACAAGTCTTGACCGTTCGCGGTGCGTTCGGTGACTGACTGGCTTGGCTGATTGTCAGTAATCGCGCGATAAAGTCACGCGTGACGCGAGAGTGATGAGTAAGGGGCGTGGCAGACTATGCAAAAATTAAGGCAGCCGTTTAATAGATAAACTTCTAAAACATTACGCGTACAAAAATAAGATAAATTAAATAAACAAGACGTTTCATCGTGATTGACACTGTTTATTATTGTCTACTTAGCAATCATAAAAAGTTTTTATACGTAAAATAATAGTGCCGAAAGTCCTTGTGTTACGAAAGTTTTACATTTTGTAGCCTAAATTATTCTGTTCACCATTCAGCGGCCTGTCCTGTACTCCCTTTATCCATAATATCCTATCACCGTGGTTGGCTAGCAGAAAACTCTTCATAGAAATAAGCTCTCTATTTCTTGACACTATTTATCTATGTAAATCAGTGTGTACGACGAACTGTTCAATTTGCGTACTCATAGGCGCGTTAAAATTTTATTTTCAGCATACAGACAGTATTTTAAATAGGAATTTTATTCCGCAGGTCGCTTTGAGGCAATCAATTAGAATTAAATTATTAAACTTTCATTTTGAGAAGTCCATCAGACCACAACTTTACTTATTATTGTTATCTGGGGCTTTGCATTTGAACACAATGACACGTTTAACCAAATTGACAGCGAGATTTGTTAACTCTCTCTAGCTATCTGCATTGATGATAATTATGCATACTCTAGATAAGATTTAACTTCTTTTACGCCCGCATTCACAAACGTTACTGTGAGGTCTCACAGTGCGCGTGGACGCACAGGGTGACACATGAACCAATCACAGAGCTATATTAAACGCTGTGCGTTCGATTTGTTGCTTCACTTATGTAAGCATCGGTTGTGAATACGGGCGTTATGCTATTCTGTTTGACTAAACAAGAAGTTAGTTACACGACTCAAAATAAAAATGACTCAGATTCGGATGATTCAGTAGGTATCGCAACAAAAGAATTCTTCATTACACATCAAATGCAATACAGTACAGTTATACTTATACCCAGTACAAAGTAACTAAAACATACATTTTTGTTGTTATTCAGGTAAGTCCAGTTGAAAAATTTGTACTAGGAGATCACATTCTTCCTTTCTAAAATATGTATGCAAACTAAATGGATAAATATATTTTTCAAAGTCATAAAAACCGAATATACTATAGTACCTATAGTCTTTAGTTATTGCCACAGCTGCACATATGGCACTTTTTGCAGTTACAAAGAAATTAAAATATAACAGCTGTGGGCTCTCATCTTCATTGTAGAGACGAAAGCTGAATTTTAATAAGTATCCAAGTGGTTACAATAAATAGAAAAAAAATTGTTTTAACAATAATTTATTTACACTATTTACATAAATTTCTACGAATCATAGAGGAGGCCAGTATAAGGTGGCTTCGTTGTGCGCCGACTCAGGCAGCCATTTCAAATATTCGTCCAGCAAATCTGTAACAAAACATAAGAAAATAAAGATTTTTATATTGGTAAAGTCTATTTGAACCGTGAATGTCCTGCTTTAGAAAGGGCCACTTGCTTTTTAGATACATTTGAATTTAACAACAAATAATTGTTTTTGAATATCTCGCAAAAAAGATACTACACCCATAGATTTTATTATGGTAACTGTATGACGTCACTAGTTCTCGATTTCATTAAGTGCCCCCGCCGCATTAGGCGGCCACGTCGCTGCGGCTAACAAAATTTATGTAATGTATAATGTTGTGGCACTATTTATTGATTTTCAAGCTACTAAAACCAGACCCGCGATGACACCCCACAGGATTACTGTGCGACAAGGCCTCACATTACGAGCGAGCGCTCACGCACGCGTATTCTTGTGTATGATGGAAAAAATTAGCCCTATGGCTTCGGCGCAGTACCGGTCACTGACGTTTGTCAACAAAATGGTGCTCGACTCTTGAGACAAGCTAAATTACACCATATTGTTAATGACATTGACCATACATTTTTTTAAATACCTTCGCGAAGTAAACCTTCTGTACTTAGTACTTATTATTATTCTGTGCTAAAACCTAATTTCAATTAAAAGATTAAAACTAGCTCTCTTTTCAAAATGTTGGGTCTCTTGATATTGGGTTCATCCAAGTTAAGAATCTAACATCTTTGCAATGACTCAAATATACTCGCAATTAGACTCCTCCTCCCAAACTTTCTTCAACGCGTCTCTAGTCCCCGCTCTCTTCATGATCAGAGCCTTCAGCAAGATCTCCGTTCGTGGTTGTAGCTTCGCCCAGCTCTTGATCATGGTGGAAGGTGGCGACAGAAGGGAAGACGCGTACTTCTGAAGTTTGGGAAACACCGCCCCTTCTAACAGAAATCTGGCGAACCATCTGTTGATAGAAAAGATGATGAGTTAGTAAAATAAATGCAATATGCAAATTTGGATTTCATTCTGTGTGCATCTCACTGCATTTTATTTAGGGGTACTGTGGCGTAAACGTTTGAATATTTTCAAAGTGAGTAGCGTATATTTTATTACTATTTAGGCGTACGCTTTCGTGTACGAACGTCGATCAACTACATTAAACAATTTTCAGGAGACAATTTATAATATTTACCAATAGATGGAGCAGTATCAAACAAAATTTTGTTTGTTTCAACGAAAATACGTCCACTGCTATGCAAAAGGCACAAGGTGGTGGTATTACTCTACTGGTCGCATCGAGGCTTCACCAGAACGTCAGTGTACCGAGTAGGAGGAGGCCTTAAGGCCCATAGTACCCTCTCGAGAACATTTGAGGCCTGAGGGCCATTGAGGCAGAAATGTTCTCTTCAACGAGCTATATGCCCCGCCCACTACCACTTATGTTTGGCAATTCTACAGGCCATCCACTTTAGCAGCCTATGATGTTTGATAAATACGGGTAAAGTGTTTACTATCAGATCCTCACCTATACCGCTCTATTTTGTCCGGATAGTCTATCTCGGTGACGGGCAGCTCCCAACCCGCGCGGCCGAAGGTCCCTTGGAAATGACACTTCACCCGCCCTGACAGCTCGTCGAATCGGGGCTCCGGGTCTGACAGCGGTTCACCTGTCAAGATAATACGGTTTAGTTCTACTTTTATTAAAGTAGGCGGTGCTGTTTGCTTCCACTTTAAAACCAGTATAAATTAAGCAATGATATGCAAATACATGACAAGATTCAAAAGATGATTATTTGATAAATGTAAAGATGTGGCACTTTACTGAAACATTACGCAGACTTCTTGAGAGAACTTGAAATGTGATGTTGCACTGTTTTGTTTCATTTGCCTACCCCAAGCTCACGAACATTTAATGGTTAATAATCCACCATTATTACACATTAATTGTCGGCTAAACACATATTTTAGAAAACATAAGAAGACCCAAGCTTAGTTCTTGAGATAATCTAAAGCGACGTTGCTCTTATTTGTTTCATTTGCCTACACTCATGTACAGTCGCAGAATGAAAAGGTTCGTCACCTTAGTGTCGGTTTTCGCTTGCACTAGGTACTGTAAGAGTCAAACCTGCCAACATAACAGTGCAAGAAACAGTGCTGCTAACATTTAAATAAATATGACGTTTGCTGACGAACAAGGTTTTGCTTTTTTCTATTCCATGCAATGTTACAAAATGTAGTTTTTTTTATTTAATAGAAATAATAATGGCAGGCTGAACCAACAAGAAGGTTTTAGTTTATCAATCATAATAATCTTGACAAGATAAATCGTCAAACAACTTTGATCTGAATAATTTTGAACTTTACTGACGAACAGTTAAAGATTATTTTCTCTAACTCGANATGCAAAAGGCACAAGGTGGTGGTATTACTCTACTGGTCGCATCGAGGCTTCACCAGAACGTCAGTGTACCGAGTAGGAGGAGGCCTTAAGGCCCATAGTACCCTCTCGAGAACATTTGAGGCCTGAGGGCCATTGAGGCAGAAATGTTCTCTTCAACGAGCTATATGCCCCGCCCACTACCACTTATGTTTGGCAATTCTACAGGCCATCCACTTTAGCAGCCTATGATGTTTGATAAATACGGGTAAAGTGTTTACTATCAGATCCTCACCTATACCGCTCTATTTTGTCCGGATAGTCTATCTCGGTGACGGGCAGCTCCCAACCCGCGCGGCCGAAGGTCCCTTGGAAATGACACTTCACCCGCCCTGACAGCTCGTCGAATCGGGGCTCCGGGTCTGACAGCGGTTCACCTGTCAAGATAATACGGTTTAGTTCTACTTTTATTAAAGTAGGCGGTGCTGTTTGCTTCCACTTTAAAACCAGTATAAATTAAGCAATGATATGCAAATACATGACAAGATTCAAAAGATGATTATTTGATAAATGTAAAGATGTGGCACTTTACTGAAACATTACGCAGACTTCTTGAGAGAACTTGAAATGTGATGTTGCACTGTTTTGTTTCATTTGCCTACCCCAAGCTCACGAACATTTAATGGTTAATAATCCACCATTATTACACATTAATTGTCGGCTAAACACATATTTTAGAAAACATAAGAAGACCCAAGCTTAGTTCTTGAGATAATCTAAAGCGACGTTGCTCTTATTTGTTTCATTTGCCTACACTCATGTACAGTCGCAGAATGAAAAGGTTCGTCACCTTAGTGTCGGTTTTCGCTTGCACTAGGTACTGTAAGAGTCAAACCTGCCAACATAACAGTGCAAGAAACAGTGCTGCTAACATTTAAATAAATATGACGTTTGCTGACGAACAAGGTTTTGCTTTTTTCTATTCCATGCAATGTTACAAAATGTAGTTTTTTTTATTTAATAGAAATAATAATGGCAGGCTGAACCAACAAGAAGGTTTTAGTTTATCAATCATAATAATCTTGACAAGATAAATCGTCAAACAACTTTGATCTGAATAATTTTGAACTTTACTGACGAACAGTTAAAGATTATTTTCTCTAACTCGAGATTATTCTGTAACATAGTTTCAAAAGGTAATATGCGCTCGCGATTCGTTGAAGGAATCAA